AGAGATCCTATTCTTCATCCTTACTAAACTTGGTATTTTGCCAATATTATGGCATCTCATTGTAGTCTTAATTTAGATTTGACAATTAATTAGGAAGAGCATCTTTTCACATGCTTATAGGTTATCCTTTTCCTTTTTTTTGCAAAATGCCTGTTCATGACTTTTGTGCTTTTTTCTATAACTGTCTTACTCTAACTGATTTGTAAGAGTTCTTTATATAAATCTGGAAACTAATCATTTGTGGACTATTTTTGTGAAAATATCTTCTCCCAGTTTGTGTCCCGTATTTTCACTTTATTTTACTTAAAAAAAATTTTTTTTATTATAGAAAAGTTCAAACATATACAAAAGTAGAAAGAATAGTATAGTACATAAAAGTACAGATAATTATATGAACCTTCACTCATTTTCAACAACTATCAAAACATGGCCAATTTTTTTTCCTTTTTATCACCACCCTCATCTCCCACAGGATCATTGTAAAGCAAATCCCAGATATATAATTTCACCCATAAATATTTCAATATATTTGTCTACGAGATAAGGATCTTATAAACATCAAAGTAGTATTCCCATCTAGAAAATAAATAATTCCTAGCACAATTAAATATAGTCAGTATGCAAATTTGTTTCATACATAGTTTTTATAGTTTATTCAAATCCAAATCCAAATCAGGTCCATATATTTCACCTTTTATGTGAACAGACCTGGACTATTTAGTACTTGGGTGTTTGGTGATGTGGGGATAATTAAAAACTTCAAATATCTTTAATTCTGCCTTGTGAAAATTGTTGAAGCCAGAGGCCATAAGTTCAGTGGCAGAGATACTGAGAATATGAAGTGTTGACACGTGTGCTTTTCAGAATGAAGAACACTTGGCTTTACCTTTATTTAAATAAGAAAGGCTAGTGGATATCTACAGTTATCCTAAAATTTAGGTTGAATCTATATTTTTTACCTTGTCTTCAGTATTTCCCCCCCTGCGTATACAGCAAGTAGGATAAAAAGCTTTTCTGTAATCTTTGAAGGTTTGTTTTAATACTTCCAATGACTGCTGACATAAACCCTTCAGACTATACATGTTAAGTTTAGGACATTATATTTGTTAGAATGTTTGTTTCAGAAGATTGTATTTTGATCACTTAATGTTGTCAACTACGTTTGTCTTCAGAGGCTGATTTTGCTCGCCAACCTTGTGATAATAATCATTTACTATGACCGCACAGCTGTGGCTATAAGTAACCAAACAGTAAGTATTGAGTCAACTGCTCACCCTCCTGCCTGGGACCTTTGTCCTCGCTGCCCCCTCTCTTGCAGCATTCTCCCGACATCCGCATGGTCGCCCATCCCCTGGCCCTCCTGTCACCTCCTTCATGAGGCCTCCTGACCGTGTAACGGCGCTCCCGACACTCCCTGACTCCCTGTCCCGCTTTATTTTCTCCAACGCGCCTGTCACCATCCACCATACTAATATTTTGCTCATTTATCTTATCATCTGTCCCCCGACCTCCAAGGAAAATGTAAGCTCCACAAGGGCAGGGGATGTTGTTTGCTTAATGCTCCATCTCTAGCTCCTAGGAAAGCTCCGAGCACGCAACAGGCGTTTAACAAATACTTGTCAAACGAACGCGAGGCGCCTGTAACGCACGTGCACCGGGCTTCTGCTCACGCCACGCTGCAAGGCGTTCCGGTCACGACTCGGCCGCTGCAGGGCTCTGAGCGGACGCACAGGGTGCACCTGCGTAGTCGAGGCCGGACGGCCCGCCAGCGCGGTCCGCGCAGGCTCCGGCGCCTGCGGCTCGCCAGCGGCTGTATGGCGCGGGCAGCTTTCCTCTCTCTCCAAGACCCCACGGGCCTGGTGCCCCGTGCCCACTGGCGCCAACCCCGGCTGGCTCTCAGGGAATCGCGGGGGTCGCCCAGCAGCACCGACTTCAGCAGCGTTGGCGGGAAAAGCTGGGACGCGAGTGGGATGCCGGGAGTGCGCGGGGCATGCTGGGGGCACTCGGGGTATGCTGGGAGCGGCGCCTGAGGCGGGAGAAGAGGGTGCTGAGGAGCGTGGGGCAGCGGGCGGGAGAGGCCGCGGTCGCACATAGGCGGCCGACCGCGGGGGACACCTGCCTGAGGCGCGCGGGAGGCCGTGGCAGGCCCTGCCGCGCGGCGCGGCGCGGCGCTTCCTCACCACGAGGGAAAGCCTGGTGCGTCCGCCTCAGGAGGCGACAGCTTGGAAAGCACTGCTCTTGCAGTTTTTAAGAACGTGTTACGAGGGCTGGGTAGCACCGTCCGGCAGCAGTCCGAGGGGGGAGGGCCGAGCGGGCCCCCCGCCCGCGCCAGGGGACCCGGCGGTCCCCGCGGAGGGCTGTGAGGAGAGCGGGGGGCGGACGGCGGACGCCGAGTTCTCGCGCGTGGGAAGCGCGCGGGTTCTGGCGCTGGGAACGGAAAAATGCCTGTATTCACTAAGGAAGGCCCGCGGGTCCGATTTTAGGGCATCTTAGTTTATCAGTCAGTTCTAGAGTCGCCTTTTAAAAACGTATTTCTGCTAAATAAAGACCTGGGAGATGTTTCCACGCAATGCCATGGCCGCAAGTAAGAAAACGCACCCGTCCGTGGGGCCGGCGCGAGCGCTGCCCTGCAGTCGGGGTTTCTGGCTAACCCAGGAGCTCCGGGTGGGCTGCACGTCGGTCAGTGGCGTTGGGGCTTGGGCGCCCACAGCGGGTTTGCTCCTCCGGTTCCCCGAGGCCGCAGATGTAGTCTCGTCGTGCCTGTTGCCTGTGGTGACGCTTATCGCCGGGCCAGGGATGTGTGAGCGTCCTCTGCACGCGTGTTCACGGTTGATCCCTACCGACGGTAGGGCCTGGGCTCCAGGCGCGAGCTCCACCATAACAGTTCTTAGACAGTCGGGGAGAAGACAGCAAACTTCCTTTTTTTTTTTTTTTTTTTGTGGGGAAGATCAGCCCTGAGCTGACAGCTGTGCTAATCCTCCTCTTTTTGCTGAGGAAGAGCAGCTCTGAGCTAACATCTGTTGCCAATCCCCCCCACCCCGCAAAGCCCCAGTAGATAGTTGTATGTCATAGCTGCACATCCTTCTAGTTGCCGTATGTGGGACGCGGCCTCAGCATGGCCAGAGAAGCAGTGCGTCTGTGCGCGCCTGAGATCCGAACCTGGGCTGCCAGTAGCAGAGCGCACACACTTAACCGCTAAGCCAGGGCCCGGCCTGACAGCAGACATCTTATCTGCAAGTGCAGCCCGTTATGAACTCGAGACAGTGTTCAAGGTTATTCTGCGTCATATCGATAAATCAGTTCTTGCCTGTTCCTGAACGGATCAGTGTTGTTTACACACCATTTTCTGATCAGGCCTTGAAGATTAACTAAAGAAGGAGAGGACTGCTCACAGGAATTTCTTGGTGACTCTGCTGTAAGTTGTTTAAAGGAAAGATGAGGTCGAAAGTAATTTTAGTGGGAAGTGTGTTCTAGAAATGAAAGTTAACAAATCGCAGACTTTCACCCATGTCTTTGACCTATTTTCTTTAAAATATGCACAGTTGTACCTCTGGGCCCAAGCCATAATCAGTTCTTTGCTTCATATTTTACCTCATTCATTCTTGATGCCCTTTACTGAAGTGCTTCAGAGGAAGTCAATTTTAGGCAAAATTGTGAAGTACGTTGTGTTTGACTTGGAAACATTTATTTCTACATATTTTTTTTTTAACTTGCACAACAGTAAGTATTTACATAGGAGAGAGCAGAAAAGCAGAGAGAAGGAAGGAACATTTTTAATGATATCAGAAATCATCTTCATTAGGTCATTAACACCTTATGTGAATTTGTGTTAACCATTTTAAGAGTACTTCCACTTTTAAAAGGACCGAGTGTTCTCTAATGATGAAAATTTCAAACACTGTGATTTTTGAGTGAGGAAGATGTGTGGGGGCCAAAAAGGCGTTGCCAGCGTTCCTCAGATGGCACCACAAAGGCATTTGGTTACTGAGGTCAGACTTAAGACGGGTCACACTGCAGATTTCTGGGCTAATATGTGATTACTTTTCTTCTTAAAGGGAAAATATGTTGATGTTAAAAAGTTTGAAGTACTCGAGTCTCAGTTACCTTCCCCTGATGTGTTTGTGCACATTAGAGAAGTTGAACTTAAATCACATTCCAGGTTTTTTTTTTTCCTGTAATACATATGATAGACTTCAGAGGTATGCCCTGTGAATTATTGACTGTAAAATGTTTCCCAAATAGAAGTTTTGAATCCGGATAATTAGTGTAAAAGGAAACGAGGTAACAATTTAGAGATCTCAGTAGACATTTTCTTGCATGTAAAATGATGAAAAATATATTCTCCACTTTGAAGTGCTTTACAGAGATAACCTGAAACAGCAAAAAACTTTGATATACATTTTGATTTTTAAAAAATTAGTATTGTCTTAGGAAAGATTTTGTTTCCTGAAAACAAAATGAAACTTAAGAATAGCCAGGAACCTTAGAAGGAATTAATTAAAGACAATATGGTAGAAACACATCTGGTACCTAGAGCAGAGGAGGCATTTAATAAATAGTGCTGGGTTTTTGTATTATTTGTATTCAAATTATTCTGTTTGTGGTATAGAACTGCAGGTTTAAAATTCTAGATTATCCTTTTGGGATGATGAAAGTGTAATAAAATGTATTCTGATGGTTGCATAACTGCAAATATAGTAAAAACCATTGAATTGTACACTTTAAATGGGTGAATCATATGTTATGTGCATTACATCTTAAAAAAACTTGTACCAAAAAAATTCTAATTATCGTTAGAAAACCTTAAAGGTAAAATATCAGTGATGTTCAACTACTGAAGTTTGAAAACTAATTTGTTTTTATTATCTTATTCCATCACAATATCAAATATTCTGTGATGAGTTGGTGTTGAAACCCTATTGATAAGATAGTTTACTACCTTTTTATTTCTGTTTGTTTTTAAAGGTCTGATTGCTGAGACATTCAGTCAACAAGAAAATATGAATGATTCTAGACAGCAGTCACTGTTCTTCATCACACTTCCAGACTTACACAAACTCTGTGCTGTGAGGATAATATTGAGTCATGGGATGGCAGATACTGAGATTAGGAGTACACAAATGAAGATGTGCAGGTAAAAAATACATTTTATAAAATAACTAAGACTTTCTAAACTTTTTGAGATTTATAAGAGCTGTTTTGGAAGTATCTCCTTTAAAGCAAAATACTCATTCACTCAATTTGTATACATGATTTTAAAATAAAGGAATTCAATTTTGTTCAGACTATGTATATTAGATTATGTTTAGGGTAGGACTTAAAGTACCTGAAATATAATATCTCACTGTTGAGTTTTTGTATTTGTGACTTCTTGTGTGATCCTTTTGATTTAAAATTTTTACAGACATTGATGAATTAAATCAGGCTCCCAAAATCTTAAGAGATAGTAATTAATAAATATTTACTGAGTACCTACTGTTTATGAGGCACTTTAGGAGATATTGTAAACATTTTAGATTAATATAATTGTTTAATTTACAGATCAATCTAAGAGTATTTCTGAAGAGTGTTTGTCCAAGAACTATTTTGACATATCTGACCCAGGATAGTCTTTGAAAAGCAGCTCAGTCGAAGCCTAAATTATAACTCCGTGATTACTGAGGACTCGTCATGTATTAGTCCCTTAAATTGTTTGAGGCACTCAAAGAAGGACTCTTAGAATACATGACAAGGTTACATCTGTACCTGAATTTCTTGGAGAAGAACAAACACTTATAAGATTGCTTAAGGGCCAGAAATAAAGACACTCTTGGGGTGTCCTCCATTTTGCTCTCATTTATAAAACTTTTTTTCTTCCTGTTGTATATTTTCCCACCCAAGTGGGTCCAGGAGCCTAAGTTGTAACTTGCTAAGTTGTAATTTGATACCTATTGAGTATTTACCTGTGACCCCTTTGGGAAACAGGTAGAAAACCTTAAATGAGGTTTTCTGCTGTTTGCCTTCAAATGGATGGTGGCCATGCCCGTAGAGTGAGGTGTTTGACTCATCATCCCGGTAACTGATGGAGAGGCTGGAACAGATTGAGCAGAGATCTGGCTGTCAGTCAGAGGCAGGACTTGCAAAACCAAGTACCTGCTGCACCAGGGTTCTGACAAAGATGAGGGCACCAGAAACAGGTTGGCCCATCTTACTTTTCGAGGTACCCCCAACCCCCCCCCACAGTCATGGTTTTTTAAATTTGTTTCCTTGATGATTAGTAATTTTGAAAATTTTCATGTTTCCAGTTCTATTTGCTTTTGTGTTTTTCCCGCCTTTTCCTTGACCTTGGAAACAAAGTTATCAATGGTAATTTGAGTTGTGACGACTTTTGTTGTAAGTTCATTTGACTGTTGAATACTAAACTAAAACCACTACCCACTTCATTCTGGCTTGGAAAAAAATCCCTTTTTGAAGGAAAAGAAACTAGTCCATAGTTTTAACATTGAAATAGTTGATAACTTCACGGATGGGTGAATCCTTGGACTCTTGCCTCCAGTGGCCCCAGACCACCACTTAAAAAAAAAAAGGAAAGTGGAAGAAATAGAAGTTAAAAGAGCTGGATTTTTCACAGGGTTTAGACTTCTTCAAATCTATACTTAGGACAGAAATGGAGTTTTAAAAGAGAAATTGAGGGGGCCGGCCCGGTGGCGCAAGCAGTTGGGTGCGCACGCTCCTCTGCAGCGGCCTGGGGTTCGCCAGTTCGGGTCCCCGGCACGCACCGACACACCGCTTGTCAACCATGCTGTGGTGGCACCCCATATAAAGTGGAGGAAGATGGGCATGGATGTTAGCCCAGAGCCAGTCTTCCTCAGCAAAAAAGAGGAGGATTGGCAGATGTTAGCTCAGGGCCGATCTTCCTCACAAAAAAAAAAAAAAGAGGAATTGAGGTTCACAGATGAAAGCAGTTGGGAAACCCAGATGCAGGGACAAGTTTTCATATTCATATCAATATCTAAACTTTATAATTCTTTTAATTCAAATCTTGGCTCAGTGCCTACAATGTTCAGGGTACCATGTTAAGAGATACAGAAATCTATAACACAATCCTTGCCTACAAAAACCTTAAACTTTTGATTGGAACTAAGTGATTTTTAAATGCTCCCATAAAGTAAAAAGACAGTGGGCAAGTCCACTTAAAAATTAATACATTTCATCTTGATACATTTCATCTCCACAGGAAATTGCTGTTTTTGCACGAAGATATTCTTACATCACCTGTGCCTGGAATATTTAGCCAAATTTGGGTAGTAATGGCGGTTAGTATGTTAACATTTTATAAAGTATTATTACTAATTATTGGGAGCAATATTGATAAACAATAATTAAGGTATTAATTATAGTTCAAATTGAAGATGGTTTGTAAAGACAAATTACACTGTGTTGTAGTTTGATTGAACCACTAACAGATTTTAACTTTGATATACCTGATGTTTAAAATCTATTTTTGTGGTTCTAATTTCATGCTTAGTTTTCTCTGTCATAAATGTTAACATAAAGACTATCAATGAATAAATTTTTTAAGATAGCACAGGCTTAATCCTTTTCTCATATTTTATCCTTCAGAATTACACTTAATATAAAGGAAGAAGTTTCTTATTCCAACAAATCTCCAGTAGTTTTTAAAGAACTTAAGTCAACATTTTTTTAAATTTGGAAATTTTATTAAAAAGAAATTTTTTTACACTTAGTAAAATTAGAACAGGAAACATACTTCCTAGTGCTGTATATAACTGGGAATGATAATGAAGTGCCAAAAATCTTTATAAAAATCATATTACCCTGAGTTTTTGTCAGAAGCTTTCTGAAGATCCTCTTATTCTGAGATTTTAATTCCCCAGAATCCAGTTAAATCAACATGTATTGACAATGCTGATAAGCCATCCAAAATCTTTGGGTCTTTTATTTTTCTTCTATGTTATATGGTTATATGTACATCTTGTATCTTCTCATCCTTAATACAATTTTTAAGAAAAACAAGATGTTGGTGAACAAGTAGATACTAATGTCTATTATTTGTGTTCTTTTCTACCTGAAAAATTTATGGAACAAGGAGGATATTGTTTTAGAGTTCTCAAAAATTCAAGTATCTTAATCTTAGTTAGAATAATAAGAGGAACTTAGCCATCTAAAAATATATTTTGCTTTTTTAAAAAGATATTACATGCTGTAAAAAAATTTACAAAAATATTTAACGTAGAAAATGGGATTATTATACATACTATTTTGAAACTTGCCTTTCATTTCCCCTTTACCAGCCTCCCCTGGATATTGTTCTGTGTCAGTACATATATCTTTCTGATTTTAAGGCTGTGAAATATTTCACTGTATAGGTGTATAGTAATTTAACTATTTCTAATGCACATCTAAGTTTCTAGTTTTGTGCTATTACAAACAGTGCTTCAGAAAGCATCATTGAAATTATATGATTTTTATTTGGTAGTTCCTATGGGTTAAATTCTTAGAAGTGAGATTGCAGCACATTTAACTATAATCTAGATACTGCTGAATTGCTCTCTGAAAAGCTTGTATTAGATTACATTTTAACAAATAGTGTATGAGAGAGCCTATATTTCCACATCCTCACTAACACTGGATATTAGCAGCCATTACATATCTGCCACTCTGTTAGGTTAAAAATAACCTCTTTTAATTTGTGTTTCTTTCATTGGTGGGTTGAAGCACCTTGGCCTTTTGAACTTTCTCTTGATCTTCCACTTTTGTCCATTTTCCTTGTTCATGTCTAAGAACTTTTATATTAAGAAAGGTGTTAAATATTTATTATATGAAATTTATTGGCCTCTTCCTTTATATGGTTTCTGGGTTCATGTCACTCCCAGAAAGGCTTTCTTCACTTTGAGATTGTACCCCCAGATTCTGTTTCAGGGAGAGAATGATCATCACTTGCTTCTCCAAGGCATGGAAGTTGTTAGAATGACAACCTGAATCTGTGCATTCTGCTATATAATGTTTAAATTCTTTACGTATTGCATTATTTAGTAATATATTTATGTTAAGTCCTTTTTATAAATGTGGATTTTTGTTATAGATACCATTTTATAAAGCTGGAAAACTTAATGCATATATTGAAAAATATGGAGCTAAGGTAAGTTTTAAAAAGAATAATAATTCCAGATACTGTTTATATTGATTTTGTGTTCAACTTCTTTTGTCAGCAAACAAAAATTGTACTATCTTTCGCTTAAGTTATTGCTATGCATGTGAAAAAACCGAACAATTTTTTTCCCAAACAATTACTTTGTGAACATTTAGTAGAGAAACGGGAAAAGGCTTAATTTTTGCTGGGTACTTTCTTGTAGGCATTTTATGTGGCATAATCTCATTTACCATATATATCTTCCAAGAAGTGAATATCCCCATTTTTAAATTAAAACCAAAGAGATAAAAATATCATCCATAATCATATAGCTAATAAGTGGAGGAACTAAACAGTATAGATTGTATTCTACATGGTGATGAGTTTCTGGATCTTAGCCAGGAAAATATGGATACATAGGGTTGAGCACCTCTCTTGTCTCAGTTACTCAGGTGATGAGGTCTTGACTGGAGCTCCCTTCATGTCTCTGTATGTATCTCTGAGGCACTGTATCCGTGGTTATTCTAGCACCCTGTCCAGGCATCGCTGCTAGCCTCTGTTTCTAGATCTTGTGGCATTCAGGATAATGAGGTTTCTGGTCATCTCCAAGATGAGATACTTTCCTTAGGTTCTAGGAGGATGATAAAGTCTCAACAATAACCAGAGGTGCTTTGCAGTTCCTTGAGAAATCTTTGAATAACCCAAAAGTTGGTTTTGGCCATCAGTCACAATCTGTGGAAAAGCAATATTCTTTAGGAGCAACGAGGAAGGATTTTAGTTAAACCTTTTTGCTGAGACAAGCTTTTGGTCATCTAAGGATTCAGGTTATCCTGAAAAGGCTATGTGTGAACTATGAGAACCAAAGTTACAGTATATCATTCACCTAGAACTAGAACCTAGGTCTTCCAGAAAGCCCAACAAAATTCTGTCCTTTTTTGTGGAAAGTATCTCATGGTTTAGTGGAGACCCGTTTGCTGTCTTACTGGCCTGCTTTTGGAGAATTTAATCTTCTTTTGTTTTTGTTTTTGCTGAGGAAGATTTGCCCTGAGCTAACATCTGCTGCCAATCTTCCTCTTTTTGTATTTGAGCTGCTGCCACAGCATGGGCACTGACAGACGAGTCATGTAGGTCCTTGCCCAGGAAGCGAACCCAGGCTCCTGAAGCGGAGCACGCCAAGCTTAACCACGAGGCCACCAGGGCTGGCCCTAATCTTATTAATATATTGACTTCAAGGTCAAAATTGTGTTGTTTTGTGACAAATCTATTAGCAAAAGAATAGATACAGTATGATTTTAGAGATAAATTCTAAAGATCAAAAGACTTATTTTCTGAGCATAAGAACAGATAGCATTTTAGCATTGATTTAATAAAAGAATATTTATACCAAGTACCATCATTTTATATATATAGCTTAAGATTATAATAAAAAGTGAAACATTAAGAAACATATTGCCCATAATCCTCATACACTAGTAAAAACGCTTACTTTGTGGTCTATTTTCTTCCAGCCTTTTAATTCACATCTTTGACTTTATTACTGTAAAGTGTCCCACGTCCAAAATGTTTAAAATCTTTTTGTTTATAATCTTATCGTTTTTCCACTTATCCCAGTTCCTCATTCATACTAACTTGTTCTGTCCTCTCCCAGACCTCAAATTGTTTGTTATTCATAAGCTTTCTTCCAGCGTGATTTGCTTTTCTACCCTTGTTGAGCCTTCATGATTATGCTCAATTTTTTTATATCGGTACTTTCTATGTAATAGTAATCAGAGCAGATATTTATTGAACATCTGTAATACACTGAGCACACTATTTGTTTCTGAAAATAAAGCAATGAACCAGGTAAAACTCCTTGCCCTCAGGAATCTTATAATAGGAAAACATTCCCTCCTTTTAAAGTTTTTGAAGTTTGTATAGAATTTTTATTATTTCTTCTATAAATGTTTGGTAAATTTCACCAATCAAATTATCTGTGCTTGGATTTTTTGTTGTGGGAAGGTTTTTAACTACAATTTTAATTTCTTTAATACATAGTAGAGCTATTCAAGTTATCTATGTCAAGGAATATGTCCACTTTATCTAAGTTATCAAATTTATTGGCATAAAGTTACTTATCCTATTCCATAGTTTTCTTTTGCTGTAGAATCTGTAGTGATGTCACCTCTGTCGTTCCTGACATTGGTAATATGTGTCTTTTTTTTCCTCCCAGTCTTGTTAGAGGCTTAGCAATCTTATTTATCCCAAAGAACAAGCTTTTGGTTTCACTGATTTTCTGTTGTTTTACTGTTTTGTATTTTTTTAATTTTCATTTTGGACTTTATTATTTCCTTTCTTATGCTTATTTGGGGTTTGTTTGATTTTCTTTTTCTAGTTTCTTAAGGTGGAAACTGAGGCCATTGATTTGAGAACTTTCTTCTTTTCTAATGTAGAGATATTTAGTGCTACAAATTTCCTCCAAAGTATATGTTTTGTTTTGATATTCCTCAGTTCAAAATACTTTCTAATTCCCCTTTGGTTTCTTCTTTGATCTGTGAGTTAGTTAGAAGTGTGTTATGTAGTGACCACATATTTGGGGATTTTCCAGGGATCTTTCTGTCATTGCTTTCTAATTTAATTGTGGCTACAGAACACGTTTTTTATAACTTGAATCTTTTTAAATTTATTGAGACTTGTTTTATGGCCCAAAATATGGTCTATCTTAGTAAATATTCCTTGTCCAGTTGAGAAGAATGTGTCTTCTGCTGTTGTTGTGTTAAGTAGTCTATAAATATTAATCCAGTCACATTGGTTGATAGTGTTGTTAAGCTACTATATTCTCATCTATTTTCTGTCTGTTGTATCAATTATTGAGAAAGTATGGTACAGAATTTGACCCTGACCTTAGTTGAAGTGATCAGTGACACCATCTTCATCCTGGAAGGCGTCCAAGTCACCAGTCAGGATGGTTATGGATGGTAGAATTGCCCCAGACTTCCTCCTTGCATGCCAAGGCTGAGTGTGTGCTGATACTTCCTGCTGTATCTGGGTTAATGCCTCAGGCCAAGAAAGAAAATCAATACAGAGTCAAGGAGAAAGCCATTTGGCTTTCTAAGGTAGATTCTGATAGTTTATGGGATTTATTCAGCTGGTTGTGTCTGGGACCCTGGGGGCATGTTTGAGGTCAGCATTGCAGGTTGGCTTGTCCTGTTGCTTAGAGTCCTATTGATAATAGCCTTAATTAAATTCTCTATGAGGCAAATTGAGCAGATCTGGTCCCGTCCTCTGCCAGCAGATTAATTACTTGCGTCCTTAGAAAATTCACCAGAAGCCAAAATAGTTCAAAAACGGGGGGGCGGGGGGGCTAATATTGGGAGACAGTTCTTGTCTCTCTCACTTTTCTGCATGTCTTGCTAGCAGAGGCAATGGCAGCATTTTCTTCTGGACTATTATTTGCAAGGATGTTTGTATAGCAAACAGCGTTGGTTCTTTTCCCAGTCCTGGGTGGTTTCCTCATGTGCGTGTCTAATCCATACTCAGCTGAATAGTCAAGAGGGACTCTGCTGATCTCAGAGTTTGCTCTCTTTGCAGCTCTCTCCTCTTCAATACTTTGCCCCCAAAAATCTAGCTTCCTTGGCCTCCCCGGACTCTCAGCTCTATCTCCTCAACCTGGGGAGCTCACTGGCTCTTCCAGGATTCGCCCTCCCTGCACCACAGCCTGGAAACCCTCTTTACTCAATATGCTGGGGTAATCATAGTTTTCACATCTCTTAGTGGTTGCTCTTCTTTGTTGCTTGATGTCCAATGTCTTGTGAACCATTGTTCCATATAACTTGCCTAGTTTTTAGTTATTTCAAGTGGGAGGATAAATCTGGATCCTGTTACTTCTTATCAGATCAGAAGTGAAAGTCCTGATTTTTGAGAATTTTTTACAAGTAGAGATACTCTGCTGGTTGCATGTGTGCCCATGTAAGTCTTTAATTGTTTTCTGATGTTGAGCTAGAGTGAACAATAATGAAAAATATTACAATATAGTTCTGGTCTGGTTTCCTCTGTGTAGAGCAGAATACAAAGTAGAGTTTAAGGTTCTGGCACAGAAGCTCTAAAAGTTTAGGCTTATTGGGCCAGGATAAGCAGGTAGAATTTGGCCGTTATAGCGTGACAGTAGTCATGGTTTCAAAGTGAATATATTTTAACACCTCTCTAACTTTAGAACCAGATAGGATTGGCTGTAGTGATGACTATAACTTATAACCACAGTAACCCAGTTTGTTGGCTGGTAATCTAAACACAGACATTTTCTGTGAGTTTACAGAGACATACCAATTGTTGTAAATTTACCCACATTTTGCTCTTTAATATTTTTAGGTGGAGGCTCCACAGAGAGTAATTCCTGTAATTCTTCAAAACTGCCTTTCATATTCACTCACAACTAGACTTGCTCCAGCCTGGAATAAAACTGGCCATCTCTTGGTGCAAGGTGACTTTATCTCTTTTAGTCTTTGGGACTTTCTGAACTAGATTACTTTTATTATATGCATCTGTTTTTAATTTCAAGATATGTTATTTTTAGGAAATAGTTTTTAAAGCGTAGCCCCAACCAGGCATTCTCAAGCAAGCCAACAACATAAATGCCATCTCCTTACTCTGGGATTATGTCCAGAGGCCTGCTGAGGTTTCTTTAAAGAAAATTTTATTATGTAATACTTGATGTTTAGAAAGGAATAAATATACGTTTAGAGCATTGTGATAAAATGAACACAAATTACCGATACTGTTGGAACCAAAAGGCTACTCTGCATTTTGTGTTGAGGTCTGACCATTTTCTAAGTATTTTATACCAGGAAATAAGTATTTGAGGGAAGAATTGGGTATTTCTGTTCTTTTAATTGAAGAGATACTTTTTGAGGGACTATATTTTTTTCTCTGAGCTGTCATCAAATATTCCTTTGTATAAAATCGCATATTAAAGCATTTCCCTTAGTTTTGGTAATTTCACATAAAAAAGTTATATATCAAGCATGATTTATTAGTTACAATAATATGTATATTCTGTGAATTTTTTAAGGAAGAGAATTTCTTTCTCAGATGGGAAAGCAAAATGCTGTTGGTAAGTAAAATGCATGTCAATAAATAAAACATTAATATAAGTACCAGTTGTTAAAAAAAAATGTTACAGATTGTTGGGTTGTTATAATTTTGATGATTATGTTATATCAGAATTTAATCAAATGTTATTATAATCACAGTTTCACCCAGGAAATCACCTCTGGTTCAAAATATATATTCTACCTATATGAGAAAAATTTCACTTCTCTTAATTGGAATAAAAGCTATATTTTTAATTTCTCTACTTACAGAAAATTATGACTATGAAAGAGTTTAATTCTGCAGGCATTTATAATATGTAGTTTCCAGAATCATATCATCAAAAATTCTTTTCTCCACATCCTCTCCAATACTTGTTATTACTTGTCTTGTTAATTATAGGCATTCTGCTCAGTGTAAGGTGATATCTCATTGTAGTTTTGATTTTTGTTTTCCTAATAATTAGTGATGTTGAACATCTCATGTTCTTGTTGGCCATCTGTATATCTTCTTTGGAAAAATATATGTTCATATTGTCTACCTATTTTTTGATTGAGTTATTCATTTTTTTGTTATTGAGTTGTATGAGTTCTTTATATATTTTGAAAATTGAGCAGATTGGTGGTTACGAGAGAGGAAAGAGGTGGGGGAGGGTGAAAGGGGTAAAGGGGCACATATGTATGGTGACAGATAAAAACTAGACTGTTGGTAGTGAACACAATGCAGTCTGCACAGAAACTGAAATATAATAATGTACACCTGAAATTTACACAATGTTATAAGCCAATATGACCTCAATAAAAATAAAATTCTTTAGTACTGTTATAAATAAAAGCTTTATTTCGTATGAGAACATGATTCTTTTTCTCCTTTAAAAAAAAAAAAGATTGTCTAAAGAGAGACAGATAATCTAAAATACACAGTTTACGATATGGTCTAATCTAATTCTTTCGTTGGTGCACGTGACTGTAGTGAACATAGATAAACATGTTCTTACACAGTAGTCCAGGGCTAGCTGATTGGCGGAAATTCTGAGACCAAGTAGACATTATTAATCAATCATGGTAGCTTTCACCACCGTTTGGGCATAGCCTTAAATCCTGGGCTAGCATCCATAATCCACAGCCATTCGACCTGAGTTGACTCTCACGCTGAAGCCTATTTGCTCTGCTTGTGCTAGTCTTATGTTTAAGTTGGACAGTCACTGTGCTCTAGCTCTCGTTGAAAGGGTTTGTTACCTAAATTTAGTTTCATCCCCAAATACTACCAGGAGACTACACTTTGGGAGAGCAAAATTCCTCACTCCTGTGTTAGAATTTTTTCTTTTAGTTTTACCAAGTGTGATATTCTACAGCAAAACTGACAAATTGTAAATGTATAGCTCATTGGATTCTCACAAACTTAACATATCCTTATAAACAGTTCTGAGATCAAGAAACAGAACATTAATTACCAGTACCCCAGGAGCCCCCTCATGCTTTCTTCTGGGTACTACCCCTTCCCAAAATAACCACTATCTGACTTGTATAAATAATTTTAATTATGAGAAAGCAACGTAGAAGCCTTGAAGCTCTATGATCTGGAATATATCTGCAGACTATCAAATATTGTGTGGTGATTATTTGAATTTTACCGTGTGAGAGAAAAATATCCGTTCCTAACTGAGTTTCTAACTTGAATAAATTAATTTAAAGTAATTTCTTTTGTTACCAAAATACTCACTTTGATAGGATGGATTAATAATTCCAGGAAGTTCAGTTAAATATTTTATTTTCAGTATTAGACATCAATGTAACAGAAACGCAAGTTTGTCTAAGTATAGAAGCTTACACAGTCAGACTGCCACCACCTGAGGTACCACATTTTGAATTCCATAATTAACTTTACTATGTTCATTTAATATATTTAGTAGTATTACTAACATGCTAGTAGGTTTTCATTTTTAACAAGGAGAGTGATAAGGATTTTTTTAATCAAAATCTGTATTATTAAATGCTTGATATATTGATATTATTCTAAATCTCTTTACCCAAAGAAAACATCATTCTGTCAGTTTAATACAGATCTAATCATATTATTCCCTCTCAAAAGATGTAAAAAGAAGGCAAGGGATTATGAACCATTCTCTCTAATCTTAATACACACTGTCTTCTCACCCATAAGTACTTTGTTTTTCACCCCACTGAGGTCCCTCTATATCTTTGACTCACTGTAAGAAAATGCCCCACAGGAACACCTCCCAGGGTGAGAGAACTGTAAGTGGCAAATTGTTGTTGGCTACCTACCAGTTTAAATACCCTGCAGATAGGGCACCTGAGGACCAGAGAAAAAGGCAATCCAGGAGATGGAAGGGGGATACAAAAGGAGAGAGAGTATCAACTCAAAAGCTCTCTCCCCTCTAAAAGACCAAAGAGAGTTATAACTCCCTAACTCATCCTGCAGCAAAAAAAAAAAAAAAAAAAAAAAAAAAAAATTGGTTAAGACGCTATTCTTTTTTTTTTTTTTTTTTTTAAGATTTTATTTATTTATTTTTTCCCCCCAAAGCCCCAGCAGATAGTTGTATGTCATAGTTGCACATTCTTCTAGTTGCTGTATGTGGGACGCGGCCTCAGCATGGCTGGAGAAGTGGTGCGTCAGTGCGCGCCTGGGATCCGAACCCAGGCCGCCAGTAGCGCAGCACACACACTTAACCGCTAAGCCACGGGGCCGGCCCTAAGACGCTATTCTTACAAAATGTAAATACCTTCCTTTGGAAAGGATTCAACTTCCTATAAATCAACATAAAGAAACTGAAAACCAGTTGAAATAAGTACAAAATAGGAGTTTTGGTTTGGAAGATAAGAGGGAAAGCATGAAATACTTGGTATACTGTATAGAGAACAGGGTGAACTGAAACATTGATTACATTATGTGAAGTGGTTATGCATGATCTAATGTAATTTAAACCTTTAAAACTACTTTATAACGGACTGTGTGTGTGTGTGTGTGTGTGTGTGTAACAAATATGTGTTTTTTAATGTATCTTTTTGTTTGCCAAATTCTTTTGAGGACTTACGCATAAAAATCTTATTTCTATTAAAAGCTAAGAGAATTTGATATTTCTCAGAGTATTATAAAGGATTTTGATACTAACAAGAATGCTGTCATTGAGGGACATTCGATTTTAAACAACTGGTGCTACGTTTTGCCAAGGTGAGATTTTAATTTGTAGTATCTAGGGCAGATTCAAGATATAGTAGTTTTCTCTTCTTTTGCTTCAACATTGGTATGTGCAAAAGTATAAACCATTTTCATGAATTTTTGAAGCGGAATTTTAACTTAAAAAAGGTTTTAAAACAATATTGTCATACAGAAGCCATCAATTTCCTTCATCAAATTACTATAATAATTTTATTATACATTTACATTTTTATTAGATCTAGTTTTAAAAAATTTCTAGCTATCTCACTATGCGATTATAACTATTATAATAATATCAATAAAACCTTATAAACTTGTACATATAATTAATGATTCATTATCATTTGATATGAGCTAAGTTTTAAGTTTGTACTATCCTCAGGAAAAAAAATGGCTTGTTATTTAATATAAATAGGAGTATTGGGATGAAATTTTCACCTGCTTAGGAAAAAGAACTTTAATTAACTAGCAGCATGTGCATAATAATTTAATCATCAAAGCAGGGAAGAGGTAGGAAGGGAATATGCATTTAACTCTGATTCATTCAACTCTTAACAGACTTTTCTCTAAAGTCTGACGATTACCAGGCATACCTCTGTGTGGCAACATTTTATTAGTCATTCTTTTCTCTTTGTAACTGGCACATTGCATCAATCCAGTTTAGTTTTTCCTAACAATTCTGATTGTTAAGATTTAATACAATGTGTATTTGGAACTAGTAGCAAATGATGAGTTTATTGCTTATGTGTAGATAGTTGCTAAATCTTTTTGAACACTTTCTAAATCATATAGTTAAACTATATGTAAGCATTGGCTCATAATATTTTTCCAACTCTTATTTTCCATAGTATGAAAATGGGACAAATAATAAGTATTCTTCACACCACGCCTCCTGACTGTCCTTTTCACTCATACGAAGATTTCCAGATGCACTGGGATGACCTGGTAAGGAATAGAAATATATATTATGTTAGAAGTTATTTGATTTTGCTTCTCGTAATTTAACCTAAGTTAATAGCTTTGTTCTTAATTTTTAGTATGGCTATAAACTTCCAGCAGATTGTGGAAATATTAAAATATACTGCAGCATCTACTTCAAAATGATAGGAAGAAGGATCTTCACATATCCTTTACGCATCACTTGTAACAGGTGCTCTCTGCCCACCTTATGATCCAGTCTTGCTGCTGCCCCTGCTGTCATCATCATTTTCAACCTTCTCTCTGTCCAAATGAATCTACTTTCCCCCTACTTCTTTTTATCTGTAGAGTGTTTTTTATCTGTATGAGTGTTTTTGGTCTTGCTTAGTATTTTCCTATTTTTATTTGAGGATGAGCTTAATAATAATATTTTTTTCCTTAAACAATATTGCAACAATTTTAGACAGCGAAAGGCACTTTAGAATAGACAGAAAAAATGTTTACATGATTCCTAGTAGAAGTGAGAAAATAATCATAAGATTCTCCTTAGCCAAGGGCTCCCTCCAGTGGCTTTTAGATATTATTGAAAGGATGGAATTAAAAGAATTAGTTGTTTAACAAAGATTTTTCTTGTTAAAAGATTTTTTAATTTTACAGGCAAAGTTTAGAGGATCTGACTTGCACTTAATCTACCCCATTGATTTAAGAAAATGTCTTTGTTAATATTATTTTTAAAAATCTACACACAAGAAACACACAAGTGCTCAGATAAAACTCTTGAGTCAGTACTGATTGCACCTTTCTTGTCTCTTCTTATTCTGACCAGCTAGAATTTCAAAATGGAACAAGGAAGAGCCATAATGTTTTCTTTCTGTATTCTAAATTTCAAAATCTTAATATAAAATTAATGTTGATAGGCATCAATTATTCCGTTTCATTAGATGCCAAGACATTATTCCAAGTCTTCAGAATATTTTTCATCAGAAAAGTAACTGCCTTTCTCAAAGAACTGCTTTTGGAACTTGAATATAATCCATACTTGTTGTTTCTCTTTATTGAATTTTTACTGTTTTTGGAGATGCAACCTGTTTATTGTTTACTATAAACACTTATTTCTATAATCTCTAACGGTCATAATGTCTTTCTTATAAATCACTTTTGGAATATCTTAGTTTGCCAGTCTACATAAAAAGCCATATAATAAGGATACAATGAGTTGTCTTGATTGTGAGTGTTAAAATAGAAGGAATTAAGATCCCTGTGAGAAAACATACTTTTTAGGTTTGGGTAATGTGGAATAAGCAATATATAAAATAGTTAGGATTTAGTTGTGTGTGCCTTTTTAACAGTTTTAATATTTTTTTATTCCATAAAAATTGCTGTCTCTTATTTACAAAAACTGTTCCATCGTTCTTTAACATTGTTCAGATACCCTCTCAGTTGCATCAGAAGTCAACCCATACAGTTCTTTCCTAGGGTAGATTTGGAAGGAGTGTTGAAAAGTTTTCTTTCAGATTTAAAATCTAAACTGCCCCATATATGTGGATTACCCATAAAGATGACAACTAAACCATGTTACCACACACAAGAACTAACTAAACCTCATGTACAGGTAAGAGTTTTCCTGTCCTATCGAGTTCTCCAAGCATGTTATGCACCTACCTTACTTGGACCTCTTGCCTTCTCTGATGGATTACCCAACCCATTGTGTCGTAATTCTTTTCTCTCAGTTCAGTGCCCTGCTAATACTGTTTGTTATTCTTGTACTTAACCTTTGTCACTGCCATTTGTTATTATTATTGTATTCAGTATGGCATTATAATAGTAGTTGTTTACTAGTCTGTTTTTCTAATTTAGCATGAGCTCCTGGAGGGCAGAGATCATACTCATCTTCTTAGCCCAAGTGCCTGGTACATGATAGGTGTTCATTAAATGTTTTTTCAGTGAATTAATGATCTTATAGCATAGTTTAGACCCATTTGCCTCATACAAATCCAAGTTTACTTTGAACTTCTGTCACTTCATTTGAGTCTGATTGATCGAAAAAGCCTTTGAATAATTCCATTTATAGAAATTGAATTAATTCAATAACATTTTCATTGTATGATAATGTGCTAAGTGAAATCTTATTTGAAAAAGAAGTAGTAGTAGCAATTGAGCAATACTAGTGAAGACAGTATGGTGGCCTATCTTCACACTCCCTAGAAAAAGATTTCTTTGTCAAAAAAAATAGGGGGAAGTTTTAAAGAATAAATCTAAGGAAGTTTAATTTAAATTTTTCAACAATGATCTTTCTTTTAAATGACAATTGTGTGTTTTCATCAAAAGGAAAGTCAGAAGTTTGAATAATTTAAACAGTTTTAGATACAGTATGAATTATATGAATATTTCTGTGTCTGCTTAGTCTCCTTTCTTGACTTACTAGTGTTATCAGTTTATTGTAGTTTCCACTGCTCCAGTGATTTCGGCTTTCACATGACATTGACTTGCTTTGGCTCAAACACTATGCCTCATGGCATTTTTTCAGCTTTTTCTGCCATGCTGCTTGTTTCATTCTCTTTATAATCCTCAAGTAAAATTCACCAGAGCCACCATCTGATAGACCCCATTCATCTTTTCAGGCCAGGTCACATCATCTGTCACTAGGCAGCATGTGGATTTGGTATGCTTGGGTCAGGGGCCAACACCTTGTATAAGTGGCATAAAAACATGAGAGCCTAGGCATTAGGGGCTATAGACAAGGTTATTTCCTTAGAAGGGAGTGTGGGTGGACAAATAGTAGTTGGTATCCGTATGAAAATGGATCTCAAAAATTTTGCCCATACATAACATTTTTAAAAGTTCAGTTGCTGGCCAAGTCCAAATCTGAGGAATTTAGAAGATATGTCATTGCATCATGCATTTTTATTGAATATGTTTATTGGATACTTAATATTTCCAGCCCATGTCTGTTTAGAAATAGTGAATCTGGACAATATACTTGTGAAAATTTTCTTTTTAAATGTAAAATAACACTTAACTGGAAATTCGGGTGTTGATATTGCTGCTGGCGGTTGGAACCCTGACAATAAGAATTTATCCTGCTCAGTTTTATTGAGCGCCTTCTGGTGCCAGCTGCTTTTATGTATATTATCATCAAAACAGACTCTTGGGGTAAGGAATTTTTTTCTCAGTTTTACAGAAGAGGAAACTGAAGCTCAAAGCATCCAAGTAATTTAACCAAAGCCACACAGTTAAATACATTGCAGAATTAGAACTGAAACCCAGGAGTCAGATTCTTAGTCCTGAAATTGGAAAAAGTTTAGATCTGTGGTTAGGAGTTCTGGCTCTAGAAACCCTTACTGCATGTATAATCTTGGGCAAGTTATTTGATCTCGCTGTGTCTCCATTTCCTCAGTTGTACAATGGGGCGTGGTAGTGGTGGTGATAACACCACTTGTCACAGATTGGGCTGTCTAGGAGACCGACTCTGGAGTCCAGTGCGCGTGATGTTTGTTGGGGACTGCCCTTGAAATCAACACTGGTAGAAGGCAGGAAAGGAAGAAATTTGGGTGAAGGGAGAGGTCAAAAGCAAAGCAGGTGCCAGATAGCCATGGTCAGCCCTCTGAGGAACTCTGAGGCTAAAATGGCCCATCACGGTGGTTCTGCATCAGCCAGAATAGCCAGGCCTTATACCCGCTCCTCCATCTGCTATGGATTTGGGCTACCTAGACACAGGCGTGTCCTGGGGCAGCGGGGCCAACAGCCCTTCCTTGAGGGGGTGTGGGTAGCACATCACCATGTCCTTTGCAGTACTTCATCGGGTCTTTTGGGTTTTGTTTTAGGATTAGATAATACCTGGAACAGTTCCTTGTACTTAGTGAGTTCTCAGTAAATGTTAGTTCCTTTTATTGCTACACCACATTTGCTCTAAGATTAATGCAGTGCTAAAAAGCATAAGTTTAAAAAGTGAAAAATAAATTGATCAGGCTACTTGATAAAACTCAGCCATCTTAAAAAAAATTAAATTAGCAGGAGTGCTTAGCCAAACTAGTTTTTTTTTTTAAAGTTATGGAAATTCTCAAAGATACATAAAAGAAATTAGTATAATGAACTGTCATATGCGTATCCTCTAACTCTTCCTTGACATATTTTTGGGTGGGGGGTAAACTGGAGTATTTTAAAAGAAGTCCAGGATATGATGTTATTTCATCTGTAAAGACTTCAGTACGCATCTCTATCTGATAAGAGCTTTTCAAAAAATTATTTAACAGTAATTCCTAAATATCATCTAATATCAGTTCGTACTCTGATTCCCTATTTATCTCAAAGATTTATTTTAGAGGTTTTGTTTAAATCAGAATCCAAGCAAGGTCCACATAATTTCATTTGGTTGTTATATCTCTTAGGTCTCTTTTATTCTGTAACATTCCAAACCCCCTTTCCTTTTATTTTTGCCAGTTATTTGCCAGAAAAACTGGATCATTTGCCTTGGAGAATGTCCCATATTCTGGATTCTTTGTTGTGTCATGTCATTTAAAGTTAACATATTCTTCTAAACTCCATATTTCCTATAAACCTGTGGTTAAATCTAAGCTTAGCTGATTTCTGGTTCAGCTTTAATCAAGAAACACTCAGATAGTGCACTGTTCAGAACCAGATTTTAATAGATAAAATGTGTTTGATCAGTCATTTTGGTCAATCCTCAAGTTTCATTTAATCATTACCTTAATTCTAGGTCTTCATTACATATTCATTCATACCTAAATATAGGTTAAAGCTTTTAGTTTTCCTCTATAATTTTATGTTAATGTGCAAAGTTATATAAATTGGATGTAAAGTTCTAGAAATTCAGAGTCAACCAAGCCACATTTGCCAGTGATGCCTAGCAGAATGACAGTAATAATGTAGTAAAGCATATGTTTTTTATTGGGTTATGACTTCACAAAGCTTCAGATTGTTGACCATTTAAGTATTTTAAGTTCTGTGAATTATTTATGATCTCATCTGCTGTTTATATAGGCCCTTTTTGTAGTGTTTTTATAAATTTTGAATATATACCTAGAGGTTTCCTCCTTTGGGCTATTTAATATCTTTTAGAAATTGAAAGAATGAGTAAATAATACATTGACAGGCTAGGGGGCAAAACAAACTCTTGGAAATTATTTTCATTGGATGTATATTTCTGAGAGACAGATGAAGATGAAACAGGGTGTGAATATAAACATATTTCAGACACATATTCTAGGTAAGTTTTATGTCAGAATACAAGTAATCTATTCTTATATGAATCTGCCTAGAATGAGTTTTTCTTTTAGAATCTCAAGTATTAGGTATGTTCTTTAAAAGTTACTACAGTTCATGAAACCCAAGGGTCAAAAAAATGGCTATTCTTTGATTTTCTGTAATTGATTTAGACTTAGATCTTGAACCTTTTTTTCCATCAAATGAAACAAAATTAAATCTAGACACCTTAAGATGACTCAGTCACTTCTGACAAAGCATCTCTTTGAGGTAGAATTTCATTCAAATTTATGAGTCATTCTTCTCCTTGTGATAGCATCTGTGTGCAGGGGAAAGTCTATATAGGGTAAGGGCAGTGGTGTGTGGTGAAGTGCATTTGGTGTGCTTGCCTAATATGGTCCACATCAGGAGAAGGAATGCTCTAAGCTCTGCTTCTGGACACCTACAAAGCTGGTGAGTGGCCACTTGAGCCTCTGCTAACTGAAAAACCAAAGACATTCATAGTTAAACTTTTCAGCAGAAACTGTGGAAATGTGGCTTTACCTCACTTCTTCCATCCAAATATTGTATCGGTGCATCTGCTTGGTTGATCCGAAATCACATCCTGAACCCTAGCTGCGAAGGAGAAAATGTCCATTTTAGATTTCCAGGCTCTATAAGGAACACTAGAAGGAGAGTGAAATGGGTGTTGAACACCAGTCACCAGGGAATGAGGGGAGTGGCATTCACTTCTTGACCTGATTGGTCTGATACTGGTGGTCTCTGCTCGTATGGTATCTTGACAAAGATGCTATTCTAGGTTTTCTCCTAGCTCTCTTGTGCCGATGGTCTTCAGGAGAGTTGCTGCGTCCCCTCTTCAGTCTCTCCGGAGGTACATGTCAAACCCTGTTATGTGTTGAATTTTGTGTCCCCCCGCAAAGAAATTGATACATTGAAGTCCTAACCCAGTACCTCAGGATGTGACCTTGTTTGAAATAGAACCGTTGCAGATATAATTAAGATGAAGTCATACTGGAATAGGATAGGCCCCTAACCCAATATGACTGGTGGGCTTATAAAAAGGGGAGATTTGGACACAGACACATATGCAAGGAGAATTCCATGTGAACATGAAGCTGGTTATCTGCAAGTCAAAGGGAGAGGTCTGGAACAGATCCTTTCTTCATGGCCCCAACCCTGCCAATACCTTGATTTCAGACTTCTAGCCTCCAGAACTTTAAGACAATACATTTCTGTTGTTTAAGGCACCCAGTTTGTGATACTTTGTTACAACAGCCCTGTCAAACTAAATCAAACCCCTTCTTGATGCATGCTTTTTTGCTCAGGCTAGCAATCTCCAGGCGTTATAAGTCAACTCTTATTCCTTAGTTAACCTCTGTATCCGTTCATTCAGGGTCATGAAACCTGGCTCGATCCTCTTCTGTGCCCTCTGAAAAATATGGGGAAGTAAAGAGGGGTGTCTTCTTGCCCTATTGACACAGATAAGCCTCCAACTTGAAAAATCTACAGACAAGAAGTGAGCCCCAGTCACCTATTTTCACCATTACCCCAAACTTCACCCAAGATTTTCTTGGGGTCTCCCCACATCTCCCAAGAATAGTCAAGGTGGGGGGAATGTTGCACTCTATGGTAACTTGGTATTATGTCAACTTCAGTACACTGGAAGTATGTTTCCCTGAAATCCTTTCTCTACGTAGTTCTGGCTTAGGGTAGCACGCGGTTAGGAAGGGGAAAGTGAAGCAAAAGCCATGTTCACGCTTAGAAGGTCTGTGCAAGGCCAGTATTGCAACTCAGACTCATTGGGGATATGCGATGGCACCTGTTGGTGTGGAGGAGGATGTATTTTAAGACTATAAACACTTCCCATCAACAGATGAATGGATAAAGAAAATGTGATATATACATACAATGGAATATTATTCAGCCTTAAAAAGGAATGAAATTCTGACACATGCTACAACATGGATGAACCTTGAAAACATTATGCTGAGGGAAATAAGCCAAACAAAAAAGGACAAATATTGTGATTCCACTTATATGAGGTACCAAGAGTGGGCAAATTCATAGACACAGAAAGTAGCCTGGAGGTTACCAGAGGCTGCAAAGAGAGGGAAATGGAGTTATTGCTTAAAGACTACAAATTTTCTGTTTGGGATGAAGAAAAAGTTTTGGAAATAGATAGTGGTTATGGTTACACAACAGAAGTACAATGGGGAATGTACTTAATGCTACTGAATTATATACTTAAAAATTGCTAAAATGGTAAATTTTATGTTCTATATATATATATAACCACGATTTTTTAAAAAGACTATAAACACTTGTTTCTCTTTGATGTATCTGACAAGTCAGTTTGACACATACTTGCTGAATTGCTACCAGGTACCAGGGACTCTGATAGGCAATGAGAGTACAAAATGATTAAGACACGGACAGTCACTGCCCAATAGTCAAAATCCTACTCGTTATTAATGGCTTAGCGTAGATGCAACCACCTCCTCCTTTAATTTAGTTTCTTTGAACAAGTATTTTGTAGTAACTGTGAGAAAGATTTAAGAATGTGGAAGATATAAGAATAAATAAGTCTTGGTTCCTACCCTTGAAGAATCTAGTATCTATTTAGGGATGGAACATGCACACTAAAAGTAAGAGTGCTACCTTGTACTATTTTCTGCTGACAAATACTAACTGATAACAGATCCTTGGGAAGATGAGGGGGTGAAGGGAAGGAGAGAAGAGGGACAGACATTGTGAATGAGTGAGCAGCATGAGCGTGTTTGGAGGACAGTGAGGGTAGCTAAGTGCATAGTTTTCATAGTTGATTTATATAGAATTTAGAACATATCTTCATCTTGAAAAGATGGTATCTAAAGAAGGATACAAACCATAAGAGATGTACACATTTCTTCCAGAAGGCTCATTTGTTTTTTTGTTTTTCTTCACGTGTTCCATATATTGTAGTGTTACTTCATATTCTCATTTTGACGCTATTTTCTTATTTCTTTTTCGTTAAGGACAATGTTACATTTAAAAAATTTCCTAATCTCTATCATTTCAGGAAAACAAAGTCAAGCCACCCAATCTGACCACTAAACAAATGTTCAGGTCCTCTCTGACTCAGGCCCCTTCCACAAGACCCACCTTGGCTCCGAGTCTTCTACCGTGTTCAGTAGCCACAGACCACAAGGTGGAGCTTTCGGTCAGCCAGCTGAAGCCTTGCGGGGCCTCAACTCTGCACCTCCAGCTAGAATCTGTTCAGAGCAAAAAGAAATCCCTGTCTTACAAGGCACCACAAGTACATTTGGAAGTACCAAAGCCCAACAGAGGAAATACTCAAGTTCAAGACACAAATTTTAGCGTCCACAGTAATATCGCCCCTAAATTCATACCAGTTTTCAAAACTCGATCATTACAGATGAACAAAAATATCTTAGAACATGGCAACCTGAAAAGAAAACAGCACGTTGTTACAGAATCTAAATTGTTTTCACTTAAAACTAGTGTGATCCAGGATGGCAAACTGAATTTGGATGCAGCTCTTAAAAAAAGATCTAATAGTAACATTCATATGAATGCTAGAAATTTAAATCAGAAGACGTCTAGACCTCTGCAAGAAAAAAACACTGAGACCTGTGAAAATATGACAAAATATCCCCCTTCTAATGGGAAATGGACTGTGAGTTTAAATGTAGGTAAACAACTATCTGACAGTTCAGTATTTCAGATGTCAAATAACAATTTAGGTGTAATAAGTGCTGTTGACTTCCAAGTGAATGGAAGAGAAAATTTAACAAGCAAGTATATAACACAAACTTTAGGGAAAGGTCACAAGTCACTGAAAGTGAAAAGACAACCACACATTTTTGAATCAGACGCAGAAATGGAAGATCCCCAACTACTACAGCAACAATCAGGAAATCAAACTAAGGAAGTTGATGTAAGTGACCACCGACTGGTAGTGAGCAGAACAGCCCACAGGTCTAAAAGAAAATCATGTCAGGAATCCTCAAAAACTTCAAAGAAGCCTCATTCCAATACTGTCCATTATGGGCAATCCAATTCTTCTAGGAACCAGGTAAAAAAAACAATTTTAATCTGGGGATATTTATCATGTGGTAGACCTTTAAAACCCCTAAATAAAGATTTACATGATTTGCCCAAGATCATCTAGAAACACATTATTTAAGAAACAGAATATCTACCCTAACACAATGGCAGTATATACAGTCAATTTATAACAAACTGTGCTTCTTCAATCTGGTCACAGATACATACCATGGACAAATCAAAACCTAAGAAATCTCTCATCATTCCTAAAGCTTACAACATGGATGCAAAAGAAGGAAATATTTACCAGGTAACTTAGGTGATATCTTTTCATTTATTTTTTGTTACATTATCAGAATTGCAATTGCCAAGTTTAAGGATCCCCAACCTCTTGGTGAGAAGGAGTTACTTTTAAATTCCTTGAAGCCTTAAAATCAGCAAGGAAAAAGGAAATGTTGGGAACAGTGAGCCGTTGACCAAGAACTGCACACAGCAGCCATTACGAATAGTAAAGGCCCTGAGAGGGATGACGTGGAGAGAGGCCCCACCACTGGCTCTCGCCCACTCTGTTCTGGGGTCTTTGCAGACTAAGAAGAGGGCGCAGCAGCAGACTGCCTAGAGATAGAAGATTCCACAACCACTAGAACATGTACCTTTTGGGACTGTTACCCAAGATAATTAAATGATGTTTCAAAGGTTAATCATTAAGTTAATATTTACACCAAAAAAATGTTGCAGTGCTGGCTTAAGTTAAACCTGAGATTTAGCTGATAACGCTGAGTCCACAGCACTGGATTCACAAAACCATGCATCTTGAAATTACATTTTATGCCATTCTACTATGTGTTTTATTCTGAGAACAAACATGTTACTAAAATATCCACAAATACTTGTTTGCATAGAACTATTGGAATAGTTTCAATTCAAATTCTTTATGAACAAACTAGAAAACATTTTCTTCTCTTCCAAATACTATTTCTTTCTGTAATTAATAGAATTTTCACCCTGATTTGAATTAACCAAAAGGTACTTAAGTGTATTCCCATATATTTTATAATGTTGTGTTTCATGTAGTTTTTCTCATCTTACTATATGCACTCAGTAGGGGTTGAGGAAAAAATGTATGTGCTAGAATGCCTTAAAATTTTGTATTTTCATTTTTAAAAATAAATGAAATTTATTCCAGATTTCATATAGTTTTAGAAGTATAGCACTTTCTCATTTTGAATTACTTAAGACCTGACACAGTTTTTACAGTTGAAAAATCATTTCATCAGCTAGAAATATTAACATGAGAAAAAATATAGGATATCATTATAGAAAATAATTTTCTCCAAATATAAAATTAATATATACTCCTATAAAAATTTGAGTAATAGAAAACAGTTTCAAGAAGAAAGTAAAAATCTACTCTAATTCCTCTTTGCAGAGATAACCACTCTGAATGGTGGATGGACACTCATGCTGGTGCCTGTGAACATGGAATCAGGCTCCATACACTGCTGTGGAATCTCCTTTTTCATTCAACAATTTTCTTTTCCGTGGTTGCGTAGTATTCCATTACATGTTGCGTGTACTGTTTTTAACTGTCCCTACTGACTGACATTTAAGTTGTTCCCAACTTCTCACTATGATAACAATGTTGTATAAATAGTCTTGTGTAGGTCTTTGCAAAAAATAATTATGTGGTTTTATTTTTCCCTTACTATTTTTATTATTGAAATTTATTTGAATTTATTATTTTTATTATTGAAATTTTCAAACCACACAAAGTGCAGATAACAGTATAAATAACATCTAAGTACTATCACCCTGCTTCAACAATTATTAATATTTTGCCACTGTTTCATCTATGTCTCACAGATACACACATTTTTACTGTACTATTTTAAAGCAAATTCTATACATCATATAATTTTACCCATAAACACTTTAGTATATATCTCTAACAGATAAAGTATAGCATATTTTTAAAGAAAAATGTGTATGTTACATTTTTGGAGTGTCTATCATATCTTTATTGACTCACTAAATTTCACTTTAGTTTAACATGCAAACTGGCAGGAAGCCCTCAATAAACATGAAACCTTTTTCACAGAAGAACTAGAGCTTTCAGTCATATAACCAAAATGTTGGAATGGAGATTTATTTGTTCAACCATATTCATTAAGCGTATGCAACGTGCTAGGCGGTGGGCTGAGCACTGGGTTGCTGAAATGATTAAGACTGCCCCTGACAGTGGAGTCTCATCTCCAGCAAGCCCATTCTGGGTTCCTGGCAAAGATGTGGGAGTATGTATGTGTTGAAGCAAATGCAAACAATGACCTTTTGGTCCATATTGCAGATAAATTAACGTACAAAAAGAGAGAAACAGAAATAGAGCTTATCACCTAGCTAGTGTTATTCGGGCTTTCAAACATTTTACATGTTTAATTTACAAAATATGATATAATTGTGATATTTAAAAGAAACCAAAAATCCTAATGTTCCACTTCTTCCAATGAAGAAATAATCCTTCATTAAATAAAAAAGAACCAGCAGAGAGCCAAGTATAAGGTGAACTTTGATTTTTTAGTGAGATTTACTGTTTTTGCTACTTCACTAAACCATTGCAATTAAAAGCAAAAAATGAACACAAATTCTACTTCAAAACAGTAAATATAATTCTTGCTCTTGAAATTGTGCCTAGTTAATTTACTGTATACCTTTACTGTAAGCATTACTGTATATCTTTACTGTAAGCATTTCTGTAAGCATATCTATATTTTATAATTATTTTACCATTTTCATAGGGAAGTACATCTGGTTTAAAGCTCATTTTGAATGTGCCTTTCTCATTCTAAAACTAGTGTGGTAGATAACTAGTAGACTGCAGAGAAAAATGGTATATCTTGGGGCCGGCCTCATGGCTTAGCGGTTAAATGCACATGCTCAGCTACTGGTGGCCTGGGTTTGGATCCTGGGCACGCACTGATGCACTGCTTGTCCAGCCGTGCTGAGGTGGCATCCCACATACAGCAACTAGGATGTGCAACTATGACATACAACTATCTACTGGGGCTTTGGGGAGGAAAAGGGGAAAAAAAGGAGGAGATTGGCAATAGATGTTAGCTGAGGGCCAGTCTTCCTCAGCAAAAAGAGGAGGATTGGCATGGATGGTAGCTCAGGGCTGATCTTCCTCACAAAAAAAATGGTATATGATTTTGTTTGTGAGGCTGTGATGAAAATATTGGTTTATGAAAGGGCTGTTAACAAGGATATATATTTGATCACTCAGTCATCCACAGCATGTGCTCATTCTTGAAACCAGTCTTCCCCCTGCTGTGTATATTCCTAGGCTGCCTTCCTGCCGCTGTCCAGTCATCATGCCTTAGGTAATGAAGACTTATTTTATTATTAGACTAAGCAAAACAATTAAAAAGATAAATCCATGGCTGAAGTAGTGTGTAATATCTTCCAGTTCTTTATATAAATAATCTTGATAGCCCCTCCTCCACTCCATTAGTGTCTAAAACTTAAAATTTATAATATAGTATTTCATTTACATAAATGTTAGCCTACATGGCAAAGCCTGCTTATGTTAGGATCAGTCTATTTTTCCATGTAAAGTAGGTTTGTTTTTCATCTTACAATATTTATCCTAATGGAAGTTTACGAAAAAAAATATATATACACATATACATATATGTATGTATGCATATATGATTTACTATAGAGATACATGGACAGATTGATTGATTATTTACTGCTCCATGTTTAGAGAAGAGGTTCCAGACCAAATTGCAGTGCTCTGATTCACTGGAGAAATCAATGAAGATTTTGGTTCATTTTTAAATATTACAATTTTGAAAGCCAGGATAATTTCAAATCGAAGTAGAGAATACTAAATTGTAGTTCCTTGTTTAAATTTTCGGTTATTTATATGCATTGTGGATCCCCCCACCCCCAAATCATTCTTCACATCCCAATTGTATGTTAGTTTTAGAACCATTACAATTTTAAAACCAAAAGTAAATCATTTTATGTTCACCTGTAACCAGAATCTTAATAGATCAGCTATTGCATTTAAAAACCTATAGCAAATGCAAAAATTAACACTAAGAATCACCTTTATAGAAGTGTAAAAACACTTTCTGTGTGCTATTCATATTTTAAATTTCACAGTATTTGTTGCTTACTATATTTTTTATTTGTTTATATTTTTATTATATATTACTATGACTATTATACATCATTATATTTATTTATATTGGTATTTTTTGCCTACTATAGCAAATAGCTAAAAAATATGGGTTTGTCAATGATTAGCTTTTATTTGAGTAACCAGTTCATTAACCAGTTTTTGCTCTCTTTCTCAAATTGCACACCACCTGGTGTTATGCCGGAACTGACAATATATTGGTTATTTATTGATATTTAAGAATGGCCAGGGGGACAGCCCTGTGGCCTAGTGGTTAAGTTTGGCATGCTCTGCTTTGGCAACCCAGGTTCAGTTCCTGGGCACAGACCTACGCCGCTCATTGGCAGCCGAACATTGCGGCAACCCGCATTCAAAATAGAGAAAGATTGGCACAGATGTTATCTCAGGGTGAATCTTCCTCAGCAAAAAAAAAAAGAAGGTCAGTATTTATAAGTGTTTAAAGATGTCATGGTCATTATTTATGGATGTTTAAAATGTCCGTGTTGTATCCTACATAGTGTCTTATTTTAAATTAAAAAATAAAAGTATTTCAAATAGATGTATCTTTCATATGTCAGAGTGACTGTATTTAGGAATGAAAAGGCTTAGATAAATTACAAATTCTTTTGCCTTTTGCCTTTGTAGTTCCATTTCTTTACATACATTTGCTCACCATGTCACAGAAGTTTTATTCGCAGCGGTCCTTCATTCTTTCATTCAACAGATATTTATTTAGTATTTGTTATGTGCCAGGCACTATTGTAGATGCTTGGGAGATAGCAGTTAAAACTGACCTTACATTCTGGCAGGGAGAGACAGACAATAAACATAACAAATAAATAAATTATATAATGTATTAGAACATGACAACCATAGGGAAAAAAAGAGAGCAAAGAAAAGGAGATGGTTAAGGTATGCTTCCTTGAGCAAAGACGTAAAGGAAGTGAAGGAGTTAGCCACATGGCTATCTGAAAGATGAGCTCTCCAGGCATAAGGAATGACCTATATGTTCAAGAGGCATCAAGGAGCCCAGAGTGGTGAGGGTAAAATGAGCCAGAGAGGAGAGACTAGCAGACAAGATCTGATCATATTGGGCCTGTCGGCCATGTCAAGGACATTTACGTTTACACTGAGTGGGATGGTGTTAGGGCCAGAGAGGTGATATGATCTGACTTAGGTTTCAAGAAGATCATTCTGCCTGCTGCATTGAGAATAGACCGGGGGTAGAGGAGTGGGGGAAAGAAATAAGACCATCTAAGAGGCCATGGCTGCAATCCATGGAAAGGTGAAAGTGCCTGGTGCCACTGTGGTGGTAGATGAGATGAGAAGTGGAGGAGATGAGAAGTGGCTGATTCTGGATACACTGTGAAGGATAGAGTCCACTAGATTAGGGATTTCAGAGAAAGAGAGGTGTTGATGACTCGAGGGTTTTTGGCTTG